GCGGCGGCGCCCGCTGCGCCGCCGACGCCGGGTCGCGGCAGCTGGGGCGAGGGGGGGCGGGGGTTACGCGAGGTGCCGATCTCGGCGGAGCCTCGGGTGCACCTGGGCTGTATCTCGGCTGCATCTCAATATTGCCACCTCCGCCGCCTCTCGGCTGCCTCTCGGATGCGTCTCGGCCGCCTCTCGGCTGCATGTCGGCTGCATCTCGGATGCCTCTCGGCTGCCTCTCGGCTGCACTTCGGCTGCACTTCGGCTGCACTTCGGCTGCACCTCGGCTGCCTCTCGGCTGCACCTCGGCTGCCTCTCGGCTTGCAGGTGCCGCGGGTACGGCAGACGTCGGCAGAGATCAAGAGCCAGAGGGAGCGGATCGGGCAGGGCCCACAGGACGCTCGCTCGCGCCTCTCGCGCCACCTGGGCCTGCTTGGCTTCAAGATCCTTGCCTGATTAGTACACCATTACTCACTAGTCCTGCTGTTGGTTGATCAGGCTTGCGCGGCTTCAAGATCAAGGACGTGCCTGGTCAGTACACCATCACTCACTAGTCCTGCTGTTGGTTGAGCAGGCTTGCGCGGCTTCAAGATCAAGGACGTGCCTGGAGACAACAACTGCCAGTTCCACGCGCTGACGGACCAGCTGGAGCAGCTCGGCATCAGCGGCTGGTCGGCCGTATGCTTAATTAATAGGCTGCCGCATCAACTCGGCTTAATTAATAGGCATCAGCGGCTGGTCGGCCATCTCGATGCGGAAGAAGACCGTGCAGTGGCTGAGGGAGAACGGCGAGATTCGGCCCGAGATACACCCGAGATACACCCGAGATTGGGCGAGATTGGGCGAGATCAGCCGACATTGCAGCGTTCGGCCCGAGATACACCCGAGATTCACCCGAGATTCACCCGAGATCGGCCCGAGATCGGCCCGAGATCGGCCCGAGCCCTGCGTCTATTCACAGCTCTGCCGTGTGAACAGGCAGCCGAGCGATGGACGACGGCTCCGTCGGCGAGTCCTCTCGAGCTGCATGATGGTTCTTACTCTCACATGCGGTATTAATGATCTTGGTCGGTGGTCTCACCAGGCGAGTCCTTCAAGCTGCGCGACAGCGTCGGCGTCGAGGACTGGGACCGGTACATCCGAGAGATGTCGCAGCACGGGGTCACGTGGGGCGACGAGGCGCGAGGTCTAGCCGAGATCTAGCCGAGATCGAGACGAGATGCCGCACGACCAGGCCGTCGTCCTCCTGAGATTGGCCGAGATCAGCCGGAGATCAGCCGGAGATCAGCCGGAGATTGGCCGGAGATTGGCCGAGGCTGGCCCCGAGAAGAGTAGGCGACGCTGCTCGCGGCCTCCGTCATCTTCAAGACGGAGATCGTCGTCATCTCGTCGCTCTCGCCCGACTACTGCCACACCATCACGCCGCCGGACGTGTGGAAGGCGCCGAGATCAGCCGAGATGTAGCCGAGGTATCGCCGAGATAACGCCCGGCCATCTTCGACCATACCTCGATCATATCTCGACCACGGCCATGGTTCGACCTACCTCGGCCATATCTCGGCCATATCTCGATCATATCTCGACCTTATCTCCGCCGCATCTCCGCCAGGTGCCGCTCACGATGCGCATCTACCTCGGCCACTTCGCAGAGTTCCACTACGTCTCCACCCGACCCATCTGAGCCGCGGCGCTGCAGCGCTGCACACGCGAGGCACGCGGCGGTGGCGGGAGGGAGGGGAGGCGGTGGTGTTGGTCGGCGTGGAGGCGGTGGCGCCGGTGGGTGTGGGTGTGCGGCGTGGAGACGCCTCTGTTCTGTGTTGTCTTTGTGTTGAGTCCGTTGGTGTGTGTGTGTGTTTGCGTGTGTGTGTGCTGTGTGGCCTCCACCGAAACCGTATTGGAAGACTTGGAGGTAGGTAGGTACTTGGACCGGGCCGCTCCTCTCCTTGGACCACAGGGAATTCAGGGTCACGAGGGATTTTAACGGGAGAGGAATTTCTCGCGCCCCCACGGAAACTTGGAGCACTTGGAGTGCAGTCATATCAACCTCACACATCCAACACAAACCCTGTCTGCACGTCTCGCGCGCGCGTGAACAGGGCTCCAGGCCCCAAATGACGTGTGAGTGTTAGAGTTGTTTGGTATTGAAAATCTCTCTCACATCCAGGGGGCCGGGGAGCTAAGATGTAAGAAGCGCACACCCAGCGGGCCGGATGATCGATATCGGGTTGCGGGCAAGAGAGCCCTAGCGCTGGGGGGGTGCGCGGTCGCAGGGCCATAACCGGTGCGCGCGTTTTTTCTTCTTTTCACCGATCTGCTCGCGCGAGTCACAGCTCTCGCAATCAGTGGCTGTCGCAAACGCCACCGTGGCGGGGCTGGCTCTGCGCGCACAGAACTGATGCCGCTGGCACCGCGCACCGAAGCGCTCACGGCGTCCGAGCCGGTCTGGGCGGCATCCGAGCCTCAAGGGTCAGCAGTTGCAACGGAGGCGGAGGGCTTGCGCTTGCACCTCTCGAGCAGCAACAGCAGCACCGGCTACAGGGGCGTATCGCACCCCTCCTCTGGCCGCTTCCAGGCGAAGCACACGGTGGGCGGCAGGAGTGTCTACATCGGCGCCTTCGGCACAGCGGTGGAGGCGGCGGTGGCGTACGCGCGGGCGGTCGGCGAGTACCAGCCTCCGACAGTGGCGACGGAGGCGGAGGGCTTGCAGCTGCACCTCTCGAGCAGCGGCAGCACCGGCTACAGGGGCGTGTACGACCATGACTCTGGCCGCTTCCAGGCGAAGCGCAGGGTGGATGGCAAGGAGGTTCACCTCGGCACCTTCGACACGGCGGTGGAGGCGGCGGTGGCGTATGCACGGGCCATCAGCGAGGCTTCGGCAGTGGCGTTCTCAGCACGTGAGAGCGCGCCGCCCGTCGAGCTTGCCGATGAGCCCGCCGAACCTGCCGACGGGACGATCCTCTGCGGCCGCACGCACGAGCACGACGGCGGCGCCGCTGGGTGCGTCCTGCCTGCTGGCCACGCCGGGCAGCACTCCTTCACTCTGCAGGGCAAGCGGGCTCGCTGCGTAAAGCGCCCGTTCGACACAACCGATGTCGAGGCGGAGAAGCGTGGCGAGGGCGCGTCGACACGGGACGATTCGGAGGTGGAGGTGGAGACGACGGCTGGAAGGGCGGCACCAGCAGGCTCGGAGGCCACGTCTAGCCGGGAGGCTCTGGTGGCGGAGGCGGAGGGCTTGCGCTTGCACCTCTCGAGCAGCAACAACACCGGCTACAGGGGCGTGCACGAGTACTCTGGCCGCTTCCAGGCGAGGCACAGTTTGGCCGGAAAGGAGGCCTGCCTCGGAACCTTTGGCACGGCGGTGGAGGCGGCGGTGGCGTACGCGCGGGCGGTCGGCGAGTACCAGCCTCCGACAGTGGCGACAGAGGCGGAGGGCTTGCGCTTGCACCTCTCGAGCAGCAACAGCACTGGGTACAGAGGTGTGAGCAAGTACCCCTCCACTGGCCGCTTCCAGGCGCGGCACAGGGTGGACGGAAGGCAGGTCGGCCTCGGATTCTTCGACACAGCGGTGGAGGCGGCGGTGGCGTATGCGCGGTCGGTCGGCGAGGCGGCGGCGGCGGCGGCAGGAGAAGGGCCATCGGCAGCGGCGGCGGGCGAGGCGTCCGACTCGGGCGAGGGCGAGCCAGGCGGCGCTGGCGGCGAGGCTGCAGCGGGCAGGAGCGAGGAGGAGGCGGCCCCCTGCCTCTGGGTCGCTTGCGACCGTTGCGACAAGTGGCGGCGGCTGCCAAGCGGCATGCCCGGCCAGCTGCCTGCCGAGTGGTTCTGCTGGATGCACCCGGACCCGGCGTGCCGGGTGTGCGAGGCGCCGGAGGAGGAATCTGGGCCGGGGCAGGCGCCAGCTGAGCGCCAAGCGGCAGCGGTTGCGAGGGAGGCGGAGGGTTTGCGTTTGCACCTCTCCAGCAACAGCACCGGCTACAGAGGCGTGTGGCGTCAGGCCTCTGGCCGTTTCCAGGCGAAGTGCTCGGTGGACGGAAGGGAGGTCGGCCTCGGCACTTTCGACACCGCGGTGGAGGCGGCGGTGGCGTATGCGCGGGCGGCCGGCGAGTACCAGCCTCCAGCTCAACCTCCTCCGACGGTGGCGACAGAGGCGGAGGGTTTGCGTCTGCACCTCTCCAGCAGCAACAGCACCGGCTACAAGGGCGTGTACGAGCTCGCCTCTGGCCGCTTCAAGGCGGAGCACAAGGTGGACGGCAGGACGGTCTACCTCGGCACCTACGACACGGCGGTGGAGGCTGCGGTGGCGTATGCGCGGGCCATCAGCGAGGCTTCGGCAGCGTCCTCAGCACCTGAGAGCGCGACTCCCGCCGAGCCTGCCGACGAGACGATCCTTTGCGGCCGCACGCACGAGCGCGATGGCGGCGCCACTGGATGCGTCCTGCCTGCTGGCCACGCCGGGCAGCACTCCTTCACTCTGCAGGGCAAGCGGGCTCGCTGCGTCAAGCGCCCGTTCGACCCGACCGACGTCGAGGCGGAGGAGCGCGGCGAGGGCGCGTCGACACAGGACGGCGGCGGATCGGAGTCGGGGGTGGAGGCGGCGGCAAAGGCGGCGTCAGCAGGCTCTGATGCCATGTCTAGCCAGGAGGCTCCGGTGGCGGAGGCGGAGGGGCTGCGGCTGCATCTCTCCAGCAGCAGCGCCGGCTACAGAGGAGTGTGGCGGCACGCCTCTGGCCGCTTCCAGGCGAAGCGCTCGGTGGATGGCAAGGATGTTCACGTCGGCTACTTCGACACGGCGGTGGAGGCGGCGGTGGCGTACGCGCGTGCGGTCGGCGTTGTCTGCTGGATGCACCCGGACCCGGCGGGCCGGGTGTGCGAGGCGCCGGAGGAGGAATTTGGGCCAGGTCGGGCGCAAGCCGAGCGCCAAGCGGCAGCGGTCGCGACGGAGGCGGAGGGCTTGCGCTTGCATCTGTCGAGCAGCAACAGCAGCACCGGCTACAAAGGAGTGTGGCTGCACGCCTCTGGCCGCTTCAAGGCGTACGGATCACATGTCTACCTCGGCAGCTTTGACACGGCGGTGGAGGCGGCGGCGGCCTATGCGCGGGCGGTCGGCGAGTACCAGCCTCCGGCGGTGGCCACGGAGGCTGAGGGGCTGCGTTTGCACCTCTCGAGCAGCAACAACACCGGCTACTTAGGCGTGTACGCGCACGCCTCTGGCCGCTTCGAGGCGCATCACAAGGTGGGCGGCAGGAAGGTCTACATCGGCATGTTTGACACGGCGGTGGAGGCGGCGGCGGCATACGCGAAGGCGGTCGGGCAGGCAGCGGCGGCAGGAGAGGCAGGGCCGTCGACGGCGGTGGCGGGCGAGGCGTCCGACTCGGACGAGGGCGAGCCAGGCGGCGCTGGCGGCGAGGCTGCAGCCGCCGAGAGCAGCAGCGAGGAGGAGGAAGCTGCCTCGCCGCCCCTCCGCGCTCCGAGCTGCAAGACGCTCGGCTGCAGCCTCCGCCTCTGGCACGAGGGGCCCTGCAGCACCGCCGTCACCGGCAAGCGGGCGCGGGTTCTCACCGACAAGGCGCGGGACGCGAAGCGAGGCAAGGGCGGCGGCGGCGGCGGCGGCGGCGGCGGCGGCGGCGGCGGCGGCGGCGGCGGCGGCGGCGGCGGCGGCGGCGGTGGCAACGCGCTGTCATCCTCCAGCGACGCCGGGCCCTCGGCGGGGGAGGCGGTGGGGGAGGAGGGAGATGACGATGAGGTGGAAGCGGAGGTGGAGCCGGAGGAGGCGGAGGAGGCGATGAGCGAGGATGATGTGGAGGAGGTAGCGCCGCCGCTTCAAAGCCCCGCCGCCGCCGCTCCTTCGCTCGCAGGCGGCGACGTGCAGATCTCCGCGGCATCAGGCGCTCCCAAGCCACCCCCGTCATGACTGCTGTCGGATGCACTCTCACTGCCCCCCTTGCTTGCGCCGCACAGGCCTGCTGCCGGAGCACTTGCCGCACCAGCGGGCGCTCTGCCCCCTCCACCCCTTCCATGCGGCCGAGAGGCCGGTCGCGGCGCCGGCCGATGGCAACGAGGCGGCCTGCCCCAACTGCTACTGCTTCGCGTGCGACGCGCCCGTGTCCGCGTGCCGCCACTGGCGGGGCGGCGAGCCGAGGGTGCCGGCGCACTGCAACGCGCACGCCGGCAGCGCCGAGTGGCGCACGCAGCGCTCCAACGCCAAGCGGCAGCGCACGCGGGCGGCGCGGGCGGCGAGGGACCCGCTCGGCCTGGGCTGAGAAGCCGAACGGTACTTTACTATATGTGGTACACTCCGACACCAGGAGCACGCAGCACGGCAGCTCAGTAGCCAGTACACGTGAGGTACGTCTTTTGCGAGATTTTGTCTCTCAGTACTCAGATTTTCTCTTCTCAACACATAAAAATCCCCTGATGCCCTGATTGCCATTGGCGCTGGCATCGCCGTGCGTGACTCAGTCAGCATTCTCTCTGACAGCGGGCGCGCAAGCCGCCGCACCGCCCGCCGCATCGCCCACCGCATCGCGCAGCAGTCGAGCGGCCGCCTCCGCGTCGCACACCCAAACCGGGCCCGCCTGGCGCGGCGCCATGCAACGACTGAGTACGTATTAGAGAGTGAGCTACTCGAGTGGACAGACCGGGCAGTGCTGGCCAGCATCAGAGCACTCGGCAAGGTCTGATTAAGACTAATCACGCCGAATCAAGACTACTGAAGGCCCGCCTGGCGCAGCTCCTCGGCAAAGGACTCGGTGTAGCCGAGCGTGTACAGCAGCAAGCCTACGAGGTATTCGGAAACCAGTCACTCGATAATTCATTACAGGATCGAGTGCGGGCAGCAGCAGCAGCAAGCCTGGGCCCCAGTCCGTGCAGTACCGCTCCACCTGACCTCAACTTAGTATTAATTAGTACTGATTAGCCTCGATTAGTCTCAACGAGTCCGTGCAGTACCGCTCCACCTGACCTCTCACCCGCGCGCTGTCGCCCCGCCCAAAGGAATGCTTCACGTCCACCCACCTACAGCTCATAGAAGCGGGAATGATTCTTTATTTCCCTCCCCCCGCCAAAGGAGTGCGTCACGCCAACTCACCGCAATCCAGACGCACCCGCCGCACCCGCCGCCGCCGCCGCCGCCGCCCCCGCCCCCGCAGCGCCGCCTGCCGCCTGCGCCGCCTCCCCCGCCGCCTCCCCCCCCGCTCCAAAGCCGTCGACAATGAAGTCGGGCGTGCTCGTGCGGCGCTGCAGCGCGTCCTCGCGCCGCCCGCGCACTCCTAGCGGCGTGCGGCGGTCATCAGCCGAGGTGCGCCGAGATTGGGCGAGATTGGGCGAGATTGGGCGAGATTGCAGCGGAGCGAGGCGGCGCACGACCCGCATCTCGGCTGCATCTCCGCTGCATCTCGGCTGCATCTCCGCTGCATCTCGGCTGTATCTCGGCTGCATCTCGCCACGCACCCGCGACGCGCAGCCGCCGCACGACCAGCCGCTCGACTGCGCGGCTCCGCCTCTGCGCCTACACCTCGGCAACACCTTGGCCGTGTCTCCGCCGTATCTCCGCCGTATCTCGGCTGTCTCTCGGCTGCCTCTCGGCTGCTCTCGGCTGTCTCTTGGCTGTACCTCGGCCGCACCTCGGCTGTACCTCGGCTGTACCTCGGCTGTACCTCGGCTGTATCTCGGCTGCACCTCGCGGCTACCTCTCGGCCACCTCGGTCGTATCTCGGCTGCATCTCGCGCCTCGTGCTTCCTCGCGGCGCCCTGCAAGTCGTTCTCACACGCCCACGCCGCCGCGGGAAGGAAGAGGCCTCCGCCGCCGCCCTGCAGCCGCCGAAAGGCCGTCTGCACCGCAACGCGCGGGTGGCGCCGCAGCCGCCGCAGCCGCGCCGAGCGCAGCACGGCCGACGGCGTGAGGGTCTGGTTGGAGTGGCGCTGCAGGGTGGCCCGCCGCCTGGCGGGAGAGTTGACGCTTCTTCTCATCCGTGGTTGTCCTCCAGGTGCAGCCGAGGTGCGGCCGAGGTGCAGCTGAGGTGCAGCCGAGATCAGTTCACCTGTGGTGCGCCTCCCCAGATCTCCCCATATCTCGAGGTCAGCTCACCTGTCATGCGCCTCGATGATCGCCTCGACGAGGGCGGCAGAGAGGCGCGGGGAGAGGCGACCCTCGCGGGAGACCATGCGGCGCAGCACCGCCAGCGGCGGCGCGCCGCACGCCGCAGCAACCTCAGGCAGGCAGGGCCACGCGCACTCTCGCCCGTCGGAGATTGAATCTCGGCCGTCGGAGATTGCGCCGTCGAGCCGAGGCTCAGCGGCCGCCTGGCGCTCGCGGTAGAGGCCGTTGCGCAGACCGAGGCCCTGCGCCCGACTCGCGCCGACGGCGGCCAGCGCGGCGACGAACGCCGCCTCGTCCGCCGGCCGCAGCGGAGCAAAGGTGAAGTGCGAGTCGACGACCGAGAGCCACGTGGCCTCGTCTGATGCGGAGAGGCCGGTGCGGTAGGCGTGGGGCTGCGGTGGCAGAGGCACGCGGCCGTACAACGCGGAGCGAGTGCGCGCGTGGAGGATCGAGGCGACGCGGCCGTCGGCGAGCACTCGGCCGCCGACCGCCTTTCGCGCGGCGGAGATCTCGCCCCGCGTCTCGAGGCGTCTCTTTCCGGGCTGCTTCGGTCCGGCGCGCATCACGACGTGGGCGGATGAACGTGCGGTGGCCGGAGTGGCGGCGGCATGCGCCGCGCAGGCGAGCAGGCAGCCAAGCGGCGCGATGGCGCGCATACAACTGTATACAAAGCAGGAAAAAGAATTTGCGCTGTTATAATGGGTGAGAACGGAGTTCTCTGGGTAAGCTCAGCTGTGAACGTCCCAGTTGTTTGCTCTTGCTTGCGCGTGGCCCTTGCGTGCACGCCCAAGCTCGAGCGGCATCACGCAGAGCGAGCTCTGCGCAGGTCCCGCGACCTTCTCGGGCAGGAGCCCACCTCTCCTTCCCTCCGTGCGCCCAACGATATGGGCAAATCCGCGCCGAAGGAAAAAAGAATTTTACGATTACAGGATAAAGAATGTCCCTGTGTGGTGTGCCGTTCTCCCATCCCTCCCTTGGGTTGTGTGTTTTCTTTCTTTCTTTCTTTTCCCTGTGTGGTGGCGCGTGCCGTCCTCCCATCCCTCCCTTGGGTTGTGTGTTTTATTTCTTTCTTTTTAAAGAATGGTGAAGGGAAAAAACACCCACACTCCCGCCAAGCCACGTGTCAGTTCGCGATGTTAGCGGGATGGGGGCTCTAAGGGGAAGGGAGCCCTCCTTTTTCGGCAAAACGAAAATCAATTGGCGCGAACGTCCGGACCGCCCAAAACCGGCGGGAGCGCGTCCTTCTGTCTACGTGGTATTGCTATGCAGCGCGTGCAGAACCACATCGATGTCGAGGGCGGCGCGGCCAAGAAGGGCGGCAAGGGCAAGGGCCGACGCCGCCGCAATGCGTCGCCGTCATCGTCATTCTTGGGCTAGGGCTAGGGCTTGGCCTGGGGCTCGGCCCCTCCACCTCGCCCTCGCCGCCTCCACCAGACCCGCCTCCACCCGCCCCTCCGCCACGCGCCCCTCCGCCACCCGCCCCTCCGCCACCCGCCCCTCCGCCGCCCTCGCCGCCGCCGCCCTCCACCTCGCCGTCGCCGCCCCCACCCACGCCGCCGCCACCTGCGCCTCCGCTCCCCGAAAGGATCGTTTTTTCTCTTTTTTTCTCAACCGCTCCACACCTCCAGAGAGAGCTAGCTCCAGTCTCCAGAGTCCAGTCCGCGGTGCGCGGAGAGAGAAGAAATTTCTTTAAAATTTGATTTGCCCGCGACATGTCTCATGTGTGTCGTGTGTCCTCATGTGGCGGTGGTGCTCTCACTGTCTCACAAAAGATGGCTCCAGAGTCTAGTGGCATGCCTATCGCTTTATCGCATGACCATGAGCATCTCAGGGCAATGGTAGCTATGTATCAGCCGCCACCTCGCGCTCCCTCTCATGGAAATCTATGACTTCTAGGACGTCTCTCGAGACGTCACCGCTGTGATGAAGCGGCGGGCGTGCCGCTGAATGACTTGTGCTGCGTGCTTCAGCTGCTCCTCCATCTCCGAAGGCTCAAGTTCAAACGGCATTCGAAGGCCTGCAACACCAAAGGTGGAGCTCGACCGGCCGGAGAAGATGCGGCGCACCACCTGGTTGAACGACTCGTACTTGCCGAACCCAGCCACCTGCCACGCCACGGGGGGATGGGCGTCAGAGTAGCACGGCGCGCGTGGGCGAGGCTCAGCCTCGGGAGGGTGGCGCTGTGGCGGGCACGCACGATGCAGCCGAGCAGTTTCTGCGTGTCCCGCTCTTGCGAGCAGCGAGCCCGCTCCACCCTGAACCGCCCGAGCTCGCGCTGCAGCGCTCTTGTCGCGTCCGCCGCCGCCTCGACGTCCGCCTCGTTGCTGGCCTCGACGACGGGCAGCACGGTCACGCGGTCGATATCGCCTCCATTCTTGAGGAAACAGAAGAGCTCGACCACGCACCACAGCCTAGTCGACGAACGAGAGTAAGTGAAACGGAGCACAACTCTTTCTCTCACGGCCTGCTCCGCGCGCGCCTGTTCGCGTAGGTCGGCCCCGCCAGGATGAGGAAGCGCTGGCAGCCGCTGACGAGGAGCGGCAGCAGCTCGAGCGCGCCCGCGTCCTCAGGGGCGACGCACGCTGCGTCCAGCCAGAGCAGCGGCGCCGTGCCCCGCTCTTCTGTGTCGCTCTTCCCCCACCGCTGGAGCGCCGCCCACTTGCCCTCGCGGCTGTCGTGCCAGGAGTGGCTCACAAAGACCGAATGCTCAGCTCCAAGGCTGGCGGCCACCGCCCGCTCTCGCAACGCGTCGCCCGCGCCGCCCGCCACGCCCCCGCCCGGCAGCTCATCCGCACCCGTCAGCTGGTCAACGGGCAGCAGGCGGAAGGCCGCCTGCGCGCGCGCCAGCGCCTTCTCGCCGCCGCCGGAGAGAGCCGCCAGCGCCGCCAGCTGCGCGTCGTCGCCTCCGCCGGAGGCGCCGAGGCGAGCGAGGCGGGCTTGCAAATAGCGGCGGACGGAGGGGCGGAGAGCGAGGGCGGGGAGGAGCATGGCGGCGCCAGTCAGATAGAACGGCCACGCGTCCGGAATGACCGCAGCATTGCTCACGAAGAGCACTCCTGCCGCTCCAACCCCCAGCCGCCAAACCAGCCAAAGGCGGCTCAGGCAGGCGGGGGCGGTCATCGCCCGGGGGCCGACGCGGGTGGAGCGGCAGGGCAGCAGGCCGGCGAGAAAGGCGTCGCGCCAGGCAGGGAGCAAGGCAGCGACGACTAGGGAGAAGGTCATAGCTAGGGCGCTCGGCATCCCTGAGCTATCCCAGATGTCAGCCATAGTCGACGGGTAGGAAGACCCCGCCAACCACCAGAAGAACCATCCGAGGAGCGGCAGCCCAAGTGCCAGGTAGACGGAGAGCCCGCGGACAAGGTCCTCGTCCGTGGGCAGCACGGCGAGGAGCATCGAGAAGGCTCCCCAAGCGGCAGCTGGCGGCGCGATGACTATGGTGATGCTATCTAGGCCTAGGAGAGCCACGACGACGATGCCGGCGAGTGACGCCAAAGCGGCGACCAGCCCCCCGCCAAAGGCGACGAGGCGCATGCGCCTTCTGCGCTTGTCCGCGGCGGCGCGCTGCTCCCGCATCCGCTGCCGAGCGCGCTCCTCGAACACGACCGCCGTGTAATAGCTGACGTACATATCCACCACCTGCGGCGGCGGCGGCGGCGGTGAGGCGGGCAGGCCCACCGTGGTTCAATGGGGCATCATCGCACGCGCCACCTTCTCCTCGTCGCCCGTGCCGGTGAAGGCAATGGCTAGCTCCTCGCTCCCTTCCACCGTCTCCTCGAACTGAGCCTTGAACGCGTCGGGCGTGGGCGCGCTCGTGAGGGTCACAGGCTGCCCGTCCAGCACGTCGATCATCTTGGGCGCGTGCCCCGCGCTGCCCAGCCCGAGCTCGCTGTGCGTGCCGAGGATGATCTTCGCGAAGTTGCTCTCGGCGTGGCACCTGTGCGCCGCAAGTGAGGAGAGAGTCACAAGTGCCTGAAGGAGGCGAGAGATGCGGCCGACTCACCAGCCACGCCCCTCGTACGGCCGCATGTTGTACAGCATGCCGATGCCCTTGCACAGCTGCTCTGCGCCAGCCGCCACGGCCGCAAACGCCGCTTCGCGCGTTGTGAAGCGAACGATCGCAGGAGCTATGTGCAGCTCGTACATCTCGATCGCACCAAAGGTGCCAAGCGTCGCGAGGATCGCCTGCTCGTCGATGCCTTTCTTCAAGCCGAAGAGGCAGACGGAGCGCTCGCCCCACTCTGGCGGCTCTGGGATGTTGGTCAGCCGCAGCACTGTCACGCAGCGGGGGCTCGCGTACAGCCCCGCCATCACCGCGAGCGACGCAGCAAACATCTTGGCCTCCTCGTCGGTGCGCACCCCTGCAGCATCCTTCTGCGGACGCCAGCAGCAGGCGAGTCACTCAATCGCCGGCCCTCAGCGTTTGGGTGTGTGCAGAGGCAGAGCTGGCAGAGGGGGGGGGGGGGGGGGGAAGGGCAAAAGGGAGGCCCACGGGCGTAAATGAAAGGACACGCCCTGAGGTCCTGCCGAGCAAAGAGCGCGGCCGCCTCCTCGGGCGGAAACAGCGCCTCTGATGGCAGGTCCTGCCGGCGCGGCAGCACAAAGCCGGGTGGGCGCGAGCGCAGCCAGCTGCAGCGGAGCAGCATGACGTCGCGAGAAAGGAGCGAGGCGTGCACCCGCTGGTCGTGCGGCCCGAGCCCCGCGTCGCTCTGCACCATCTCGAGGCCCGCACCCGCAGACTGCTCATCCTTTCGCCGCACGTCTCGGAGAATGCAGACCAGCGCCCAGACCAGGCTGAGCCCGGAGACGACAGAGCAGAGAGCGAGAGCCACGTAGCGCAGGACGACGGCCGCGTCGAGAAAATGTTCAAACTCTGCGTCTCGGTCCGGATCAGGGCAGAGGAACCACCTGTGGCGGCCATGCCAGCATTCACCGTCGGCTAGGCCAAGTGGGTGACCGTCGCTCCGCCCCTCGCAGCGCGAGTCGGGCTCTGCCGCCCAGCAACGGAAAAACGCATCGCCGTAAGCGCCGATCACGACGCACTCCGTGGACGAGTATTCGGCGCAGCCTGGGTACTCGCACTGCTCTCGCGAATAGCACGGCCGCCCTCGGAAGGGCGTGCTCTCTGCCACACCCATGGCGTGCTTCCGATCCGCCTCCGCGAATGCCATGTACTCGGGCGAGGGGTCGGCGGCGCCGTGCTTGCAGAGGCAGGGGAGCTCAGAGTAGCAGTGGGCGTCGTACCACCACCCCTCCGCCAGCAAAGGCCACTCCACCGCGTGGTGGTAGTGGCTGACAGCAGCGCACGCCTCTGCGCCATGCCAATTGTTTGGCTCTGACCATTCGTTGAAGCCGTCGAAGGCGTTGACGTCCCATTTGGCAAAGTTTGCCGTCTCGCCGGACTGGCAGACGTCCCAGCCGCCGCCGGGCTCCGCTCCGGCGGGCCGCTGGTAGTTGCCGATCCAAAAATGGATCGCGCCGGCATCGGCGGCGAGCCGAGCCACGTACTCGTTTTCCTCCGAGCTTTGAACGCACGCGAGAGTCGCGTTCGGCCCACACAGGTCCGCGCAGCCCCAGTGCGTGGCGTTCTCGGCAGCGAGGTAGTACGAGCCAAAGGCAAAGGCGGCTAGAGCCAACATCCTGGATCTCGGTTGGCCCGTGTCACCGAGGTGCTACGAGATCTCGACGACCCCCCGGACGACCCCCCCACCCCCCCCGCATTTGGTGTCCCAGTCGTTGGTCGGACTGTGTTTCGCCTTCCTATCTATCTATGCACACAACATGATTGTTTGTTTGTAATCTCACATGAAAGAGATCTCAATGTACAATGATGAACAAGTTGCTCAGCGCCGTGCGCGCTAACCGCTAAGACGAGCTGACACATTTCCATCCCGCGATCCGCGAGATCGTCTGAGATCCGCGCCAAAACAACGCGTTCGGCTTCGTGGGGTTTCGCGGTGTACACGGTCAAGTATTACACACGGTCTCGCCGGGGTCGGGGGTGGCGCTGGCGGGGAGAGAGCGGAGACCGAGTTTGGTTTGGTCGCGCAGGCCGCAGCCGCGAGCCGGGGGGAGAACTGAACAATGTGACACCAGCCATTTTATCATATATCTCTTCGTCCGCCGCTTAAAGCCGTAGAGACGCCCCACCCTTGAGACGCACGCACGAACCCGATCCCCGCACTAGACTAGAGAACGCCCGACCGCTCTCACTCTCCCACACTGACGCGCCATGTCCCATCGCTCCGACCCTCTCCTCTCCTCGCGGGCGCCGCTCAGGCGGGCCCTCCTTGCGGCCCGGGCCCCACATTGACCATGCGCGGGTGCTCGTACTTGCCGACGTAGATGTCGCGCGTCAGCTCGCCGGGCGGCGGCGGCGTCGCCCGCCCCGCCGAGATCGGGGGCTTTCGCACAAAAATCACAAGGCGCCAAGGGGGGGGGGTCAAGTATGGTACCCTAGACACTGACAGCATCCAAGAACCGCGCTGCTCCGAGGTCTGACCAAGCAAGGCGCATGCGGATGGGAGCAGGAGGGAAGGAGCCACGTCTACCGTCGGCCTACCCTCGGTCTGAGCACTGTCTGTAGTGGTCCGGGCAGCCACACAGTGGGGAGTGACAAGAGGTCCTCACGGAGAGGTCCTCGCGGAACATATCTGAGGTCCTCACACTCGAGCGAGAGGTCCTCATGGACGCAGCACGTGCCCCGCATCGCGAGGATGAGCTCTGTCTGTACGAGGCTCCGAGCGTGGCTGTCGAGCGGATGCTCTGACTCTCGCCCAACCAAATAAGAGGTGTACTTTTTTGAGTTGAAGTTTGAACAAAGTCATGGATTGAGTGTGTACCTGCTCACAGAGGTATGTGCTCCAGGTCCTTCCTCTTGTGAAGCACGAGTAATCGTTCCTGGCTTAATAGTAACTTTTCATTTCGCCTCCTTCCTCACAGCGTCCGCCTTATGTGTGTGTGTGTGTGTGTGTGTGTAAGAGACCCCGACATTAAGCTCTGTCCTCTGTACGTGTTTAATTTCATACTCCTCGCACACTCTACCTGTGTTAGTGCCAGTGCGCGCCAGTCCCGTGCCCAGTGTTGTGCGAAAAAGAATTTAAACAAGACAACTCTCTCTCACAGCAGACAGGCTCGACAAAGAATTTTGCGCACACCAGGGAACAGGAAAGGACAAAAAAGATGTCCGGCATCATATAACATCAGCACAAACGTTTCGACAATGTTCATATCATCTCTCAATAGGCTAATCCAACCGCGCGCCTCCCACCGAGGTCTGACCGAGGCGCATGCGGGACGGGGAGTGAAGGAGCCACGTCTACCCTGCGCTGGGCCTACCCCCTCAGACGGTCTGAGCACTGTCTGTAGTCTCCAGCCACTGTTGTGTGACCCTCCAGCCACTCAGACGTTTGAAAGTATCGTTTGAAGTCCGTTTGAAGGTGCGCCGTTCTAGACCGCGTGTCGGTGAGCTTCTAACTCGATCGCGTTCTCGAGATACGGCTTGAGATTTGAGAGTTGGAGTGGCCTCACGGAGTCGGCGCCGCCGCTCGGCGGAACGGCGCTCTTCTGCGGGTTTGGCGATCCAGCGCTGCTCCAGACAGAGGCTGCCTCCACTCTTGAGGTTGAGCTGCTCAGGCCTGGTCAAGCAAGGCCACCCACCGGCATGCTCTTGGAGCGCGGATTGCACTCCACACCAGATCGCGCTGCTGGGTGCTGGGGACCCGCGGTGGCTGCCTTCAAGGCTAGAGTTTGAAATCCAATTCAAATCGCGGGACTACCGCGCACACGTCCTCCGCCGCTGTGCATTAGTAGAGTCGCCCCCCCGAAGCCCCAACACTTGCCCAAGCATCGGAAGACGGAAGGCCGCGGGCACGCCGCGCGCAAAGCTCTCACCGCTCAACACCCGAGCGAGGGCCACGGCAGGCTCGCGGCGCCCAGCGGCGTGCTGCGGCGCCGGGCGACGAGGTTCGTCGAGTGCGTCGCAAAGTCGATGTCGTACGCGAGCTGCATCTTCGGCCGCCGCTCGCCGCCCGCTGCAGCGGCGGCGGCGGTGGCGGCGGTGGGGAAGCTTGGCAGCCGAGCCCAAGGGCCGGCCGCCTGCTGCCAGCTGTCGGGCGGCGGCAGCTCGGCGTCGACGAGCTGGTTGGGCACCTGCTTAAACTCGTACCCGAGCGAGGAGAGGCGCGAGAGCATCTTGACGGCGGCGCACGTCTGCTCCGCGTCCTTGCGCGTGCGGGAGAGCTCCAGCTGCAGGTTGGGCACCTGCCGAGACACAGGGCCGAGAGGCTAGACGAGATCAGCCGAGATTAGCCGAGATAAGATGTGCTCCAGCTGCAGGTTGGGCACCTCGCGCGTCGCGAGCAGCGTCTGCGCCGTCTGCATCACCTGCGGCTCGTAGCCCTCGACATCGGCCTTGAGCAAGCACACGTCGCGCCCGCGCAAAACGTCGTCAATCCGCACGGCGCCCGCGCTCACGGTGGCGGCCTTTGCGTTGTAGTCCGACTTGAGGATGCCGCGCGCCCCATTCATCCCCGTCATGCCCAGCTTCTTCTTGTGCATCCCGCCCGGGAGCGGGACGCGCAGCGTGTAGTTGCCTGGCGTGTCGTAGACGACGTTGCCGTAGAGCTCCACCCTCGCCGCGAAGCCCGGATTGAGTGTCACGCCCAGCCGCAGAGCCTCTTGGAAGAGGGGCACCGGCTCGAAGACGACCACCCTGCAGCCGAGCGCGAGGCTGTACAGCGTGTACCACCCAAAGTTGCCGCCGACGTCGACGACGAGCCCGCCGCTGCCGCAGCAGCGCCAGGTGGCCTCATGCCACGCGTGCGTCAGGACCGGCTCGAGCACGAGCTGCTCCCGCATCCGCTTCATGTCGGCGTCGGCCGGGTTGTAAGCGAACGAAAAGGGCGGGTCGGTGCGCGTGGTGACCGTCTCGAGCGTCTGCCCCGAAGGTGCCTTCCACAGGTTGCGCGGCTTTGCGCAGGCGAGGCAGAGGGCGCACTCGCACCGACCGCACAGCGCCGCCTTGTAGCTAGCGTTGCGACTCGCTCGCCGCAGCTCGCGCTTGTGCATGCACAAGAGCGAGTCACACGAGGGCGCGGCGCCTCCGCAGCTACGAGGCGTGTAGATGAGCGGGAGCGGCGGCCGCTGCAGCTGATAGCCCGGCACGTCAGCTACCGTCGGAGGGATGCGGAGCGCCATCTGATCTCTTTCCACCGCGAGAGCACAGCGGCTCGCCAAGAGCACAGCGGCTTGCACAACGGAGTGAGACGCGCGGAAAAACAAACAAACTTCCGAGTTGCGAACGCGCCCCTAGGTCAGGGCTCTCTAGCCCGTAGCCCGATGCCGATCATCCGGCCCGCTGGGTGCGCTTCGTAGCTCCCTGGCCCTGGATGTGAGGTCGATGACTTTACTCCAAGTGCTCCAAGTGCTCTCAGGATTTTTACGAGAGAGAGATTTTTAGCAATACCAAACAACTCTAACACTCACACGTCATTTGGGGCCTGGAGCCCTGTTCACGCGCGCGCGAGACGTGCAGACAGGGTTGCCAGGTGAGAGCGAATGGCGCGGTTCACGCCTCGCACAACAGAGAGAGAGATGCGCTCTGCATGGTGGGACATAAAAGAGAGCGAGTACTTGGGCGAGTAGGCTGTGCGGTCAACGCTGCCGCGCGCGACTTTGCGCGCGAGGCGGCGCAGCTTGAGAACGGCGGTGGGCGAGAAGCCGCCGCCGAACGTCTCGTGGAGCAGCAGGTTGAAGTTGTTGCGCTTGACAAAGATCGCGTCGTGGTAGAAACCGCGATGCGCCCTGACGTAGCCGTGGCCGGTCTTGTGGGAGTCAGAAGGGTTGGCCGGGCTGCCCGCGCGCCTTGCAGCCCATGTTTAGGCGGCGGGCCTTCTCTTCGGTGTTGCCGAAGGCGTAGGAGTGGCCGACGGAGGCGGGCGTGCCGCCACTCGAGGCGTTGCCAACGCCCGTCGAGGAGGTCTTGAGGAGGGGCGTCCAGAGCTTGATTTCATTCACTTCATCGCACCCCCCCCCGCCCGGTCCCGCATGGGGTTCTGCGAGGTCAGTCTTGTACCCCTCGTTGTACTGCCGGGTGAGCTCTGGTTTCTCCTTGTCGCCGTGCACGACCGGCGCGTTGGCCGGGGCGCGCATCGCGTCCGCCCAGGCGGCGAGGACGCCGTCGTGGGGCCGCCGGTGGTGGGCCTTGTTGTAAAGGTAGTCGCCGAAGAAATCGACTGGCATGCCCCGCTCGAGCGCGACCCGAAGGGTGGGGAGCGCCGCGGAGAGCCAAAGGCCGAGCTTCCGCTGGAGCTCGTCCTGGAGGGTGTCGGAGGAGAGGGCGGTGGCGTACGTACCGTCGACACGGACATCGAAGGCCTTGCCGGCGAAAGGCGTAGGTTGAGGCGGAGACGAAGCGCGCGGCTGTTGTTGTTTTTACGCGCAACGCCCTGTAGAGGGCGTGGCGTGGGAATTTAAAACAAATTCTCCGGAACTAAGACCACGATCTCAGGTATCTGATCCTGCTACCACACAAGTGAGAAGCCCGAATGAATCAAATTCCGGCGCCCCAGACGAAACAGGTCAAGAATTGGCGAGAGTCACGACACACACCACTGGTCCGTCGTGAAAAGAAGAGCTGCGGATCACTGCTGCTTCATTAGAGCCGCGCGTTCGCAATCCTGCGCTCGACACAAGTCACTCTCACAAGTATTGTGTAAAGCCGTATGGCTTTGCACATCGCGATTCGGTGTCGATTCCTTAAGTTTTGCGTGTGAGCACCACCTGTCCGCTCTCTCTCTCTCTCTCGACTCTCTGTCCCTGACACATCCTTTGTGGCGGCGAGCGAAAAAAAACGTCGCGGATCACCCGCCCCTCTGCTCCTCGATCTTCTTGGGCAGCAGCTGATTCGACAGGTCCTCTCCGTGGCCTAGGCTGCCACTGCCGCCCTTGCCCCACGTGAAGCCGGCACTGTCAGCGGTGAGGGCGATGCTGTGTTGGGCTCCAGCAGACACAGCGACGACGCGCTGGCCAGCAAACGCCTCGACCTTCTTCGGCAGCAGCTGCCTCTCCTCAACGCCGTGGCCCAAGATGCCATGGATACCAGCGCCCCAGCTCCAGACGCTGCCGACGGCGGCGGTGGCGAGAGTATGCGCGAGTCCAGCCGACAGAGCGACAACGCGCTGGCCAGCAAACGCCTCGATCTTCTTGGGCAGCAGCTGCCTCTGCTGGTCGCCGTGGCCCAACCGGCCACCGGCTCCCCAGCCCCAGCTGCAGACGGCGCCATCGGCGGTGAGGGCGAGGCTGTGCGCGTCTCCAGCCGTCACAGCTAATATGCGCCGGCCAGCAAAGGCCTCGATCTTCTTTGGCAGCAGCTGCGTCTGCTCGTCGCCGTGGCCCAACCGGCCACCGGCTCCCCAGCCCCAGCTCCAGACGGCGCCGTCGGCGGTGAGGGCGATACTGTGGTGCTCTCCAGCCGACACAGCGACGATGCGCCGCCCAGCGAAGGCCTCGACCTTCTTTGGAAGCAGCTGGCCCTGCTGGTCGCCGTGGCCCAGCTGGCCAAAGGCTCCACTGCCCCAGCTCCAGACGGCTCCGTCGGCGGAGATAGCGAGGCTGTGGAAGCGTCCAGCCGACACAGCGACGACGCGCTGGCCAGCCAAGGCCTCGATCTTCTTGGGCTGCCACTCGGTCAGCGCGTCGCCGTGGCCCAACTGGCCCACGCCTCCCTCGCCCCAGCTCCAGACAGTGCCGCTGCCGGTGCGGGCGAGGCTGTGCCATGTTCCAGCCGACACACTCACGGCGCGCTCGCCGCCCAGCCCCGACGGCAGCCGGGTCGGCGTGTTGAGCCGCGTTACGCCCGCACCGTGGCCTAGGAGGCCTGGCGTCCACATGTCCGCCTTGCCGCACGACGAGAGCCGCCCCTCGCCGTCAATGAAAACGCTGTGCTGATGGCCTGCCGCCGCCCTCGCCGGCGGATTGGTTTCGCGCAGCAGCGCAGAATAGCACAGCCACCGCACGGCGCAGCTCTCGCCCTCCGGCAGCGCCGGCAGCTCGAAGCCGCGCTCTTGCGCCCACAAGCGGATGCCCTCCACCGCAAGCGAGGCGTGAAAGAGGAGCGAGACGGCCGCGACGCGAGCGATGTCGGCGGGGTCGCAGCGAGAGATGACGCGCACGAGGAGGTCCGTGGGGAGGTCGAGGAGGCGGGCGGGCGGCGGCGTGTCTGGCGAGAGAGCGGCGGCGGCGGAGGATGCGAGGCGGCGCGAGCGGCGCCGCGGGCGCCGCGGGGCAGACATCGCGAGGAAAAGAATTTCACAACGTGGCTCTCGCACACGCACGATTCACCTAAAATCCCTGTGTGGTGGCGGCGTACCGTCCTCCCATCCCTCCCTTGGGTTGCCTGTTTTCTTTCTTTCTTACGATTCACACGACAGACAAGGCGCAGACGACGGCTTCCTTAGAAGCCATCGTCCTCGCCACAAGAGCCGGCGGAGGAAAAGAATTTTACAACCAAAGTTCCTCGCACGACCCCGGGAAAAGAATTTACAAACAACTCCCCCGAAAGAGAACAAGAAGGATTGCGCGAGGAGAGCTCGATAGACACTCGAGGGGCCAGGATATGCAGCGAGGAGGGCGGAGCTGCGCCGAAAGGCGCAAGAAGCCGCGAGAACAAGGGACCGGCAGGCGGCGGCGGCGTCGCAGAACGAGGCAGAGGTGAGCGACGCGACAGAGGAAGAAGCGACAAGGGAGAGCACGACGAGAAGGGGGCGACCGCGAGGTGGCATGAAGGTTGCAGCGAGAATCGGAGAGAGACTGCGAAGAGAGATAGGAAGAGGCGGACGCCCAAGGGTGGGCGACGGCTAGCGCATCACACCCCTCTCCTTAAAATCCCTGTGTGGTGGCGGCGTGCCGTCCTCCCATCCCTCCCTTGGGTTGTCCGTTTTCTTTCTTTCTTTTTTAACAGAGAAGGATTGCTCGAAAAGCAAGGTCGATTCTAGGTTCATCGTCTCCAATGTTCTAAGAATTGGCTGGGGCTGCAGAAGCAGCGTATCTCAGTCGTTCTTCACACACGGCAATCGCAGAGCAGGTTGTGAATGAGCTTTCCTGTGGCAGGCTGGGGCGGGCGGGTGCACGGAGCTAAGTGCCTCGCCACCCTCGCAGGAGTCGCTTAGCCGGCTCCCGTGGTGTACCTGTGTTAGTGCCAGTGCGCGCCAGTCCCGTGCCCAGTGTTGTGCGAGGGAGCTTTGTTGTAAAATTCTTTAAGAAAAGGCCCCCAGCGAGCTCCAAAGGGGAGAGATGACAATGATTTTGAATGCTGAGGATGAGAGTCAAATTAAATGGGTTTGGCGCCGCTGCTATCGCCGCCGCCGCCGTCGTCGCCACCGCCCTCCTCGTCACCGCCATCGTCGCCGCCGCCCTCGTCGCCACCGCCCTCGTCGCCGCCGCCACCACCCCCCCGCTTCCCAACTTTCCCGTTTTGCAGCGGTTAGGTTTAGGGTTAGGGTTAGGGTTAGGGTTAGGAAATATTACGGCAGCTATGCAAAATGTACAGTCACCCGCAGCCCATTGCACAATTACTGGCCGATAGGCCACTGTGGCTCGAGTTGGTGGAAGGCTTCGAGTGCTTCATGGGCAGCAAGGGCGACTGGGAGCTCCTGTTTGAGAATCTGCCCTCGACCCTCGAGACGCTCAAGATCGAGACGCACGCAAAGGAACTCGGAGATCGGGGCGCGGGCGTCTTGGCGAAGCACCTGCCGAGCGGCCTGCGGAAGCTGGACCTCTGCTTCAATGGCAATGGCAATCCAATCGGCGGGTGCGGGGTCGGCGCAAAGGGCGCCCTGGCGCTGGTCGAGGCCATCCCGGCCGGCCTCGAGACCGGATCGCTTTACGTCGCCGACCTACGCACGTCCGGGCCCGCGTACAAGCGACTCCGAGCCGCGCTGCCGCGCTGGCCGCGAGGCCGGTTGGACGGCAACCAAATCACCATTTGCCGCACGTGACGACACTTAAGCGGTTGGAGAGGCATGCACTTATAAGTCCGATCCATAACCCTAGCGCCTATACAGAAGCGGTTGGAGAGGCATGCACTTAAACGGTCCCTACCGACTACACGACACACATATTGTACCCCCGAAGATGTAACATTCATGCTCTGCTCTCGTAACCGGCCCCGTCCTCAGCCCACCCCCGCCGCCCTCGCGCACTCGTCTAGCTCGCGCGCGCGCCGCTCCTGCCTCGCCTGCCGCTCCGACAGCAGCCGCTCCCGCTCCCTCTGCGCCTCGTCCGTCATCCTCTGCCTCTGCTCCGCCTCGCGCAGCTGCAGCTTCAGCTCGCGGAGCTCCTCCAGCTGCGCGCCGCAGACGCCGCGGGCGAGCTCTTCCATGGCCGCAGGAGAGGCGGCACCTCCGCTGCTTGGCGGCGAGAGCAGCGCCGCCGCAACCGACGCACCGGCGCCGTGCCGCGGCCGCGGCGGCGGAGTGTAGGGCGAACGCCACGAGAGGGCCGCCTCGGGGGACCAAGGGTCCCGTGCCGGCGACGAGTGCTGCTGCTGCGGCTGCGGCTGTTGGTGGTGGTGGTGCTGCTGCTGCCGTTGCCGGTGGTGGCTCAGCTGCTGCGGCGGCGGCGGGGTTGGCGGTGCGGCCGCCGCGGCCACCGCGCTCGATCGAGCACTGGAGTGGATCGCCGCTGCCGCCGCCGCCAGCTCGGTACGGAGGAGCGCCTCGCGACTTGTCGCCTCGCGCAGCTCGACCTGAGACCAAGAGAACTGCAAACTCAGAACAAGCAAGGGCCCCAAGACTGCGAGAGGTCGCATCAGCTCGACCTGCAGCTGCGCCGTCCTCGCACGGGCCACCTCCCGCTCCTCCGCCGCCGACCGCCGCGCCTCCTCCGCCTCGCTCCTCGCAGACGCCGCCTCGGCGCGCGCCTGACCAAAGCGGGGGGCGGGGGGGGGGGGGGGGACCTGTGAAAAAACCCCCTTCCTAATGTCTCGGAAGTGTCTCGGAAGTGTCTCGGAAGTGTCTCGGAAGTGTCTCGGAAGTGTCTCGGAAGCGTCTCGGAAGGATCTCGGAAGCGTCTCGGAAGTGTCTCCGCCTGGTCGCGGTCCGCCGCCGCCGCCGCCTCTGCCGCTGCCACCGCGCCGGCGACCGCGTCGGCGGCGCCGCGCGCCTCGGCGAGGCGAGCGGAGAGGGCGGACGCGCGCGCGTGCTCCGCCTCCGCCCTCGCCGCCTCCACCTCCTTCCTCGCCGCCTCGGCGGACTGCGAAGCCGCCTCCACCGCCGCACCGTGCCGCGCCTCGGCCCGCCCGGCCGCCTCCTCGGCCGCCGCCGCCGCCGCCTCGGCCGCCTCCGCGCGCGCCTCCGCCGCCTCGACGCGAATGGCCGCCTCGTGCTCCGCCTCGCTGCCGCGCCTCACGGCCGCCACGGCGGCCTCCGCCGCAGCGGAAGAGGTCGCCTCGGCCTCGCTCAGCAGGGCTCGCAGCCGCGACAGCTCGGCGCGGGCCTCGGCGGCCGCCGCCTAGAAGGGTCCGAGAAGGTTCCGAACCGCGCTCCCCAGCAGCGCCCCCGGCGGGCGGCGGAAGAACAGGGCACGCCTCGGCGCCGGCGGTGTGCGCGCTGTCGAGAGCGACGCGCATCGCAGCGTTCTGGAGCGCCAGCTCCCCGCGCACCTCCTCCTCCCTCTGGCTCGCGCGCAGCTCCACCGCGTTCATCTCCGCGGCGAGCGCCTAGTACCGCACCCTCCAGAGTCTCGAATCCAGTGTGGGCCCTCTCCCGTGGGCGGTGCGGTATCGCCTCGAGCGCCGCCGCGCTCTTCGCCTCTGCCGCCCGCGCCGCCTGCGCCCTCGCAGCCTCCACCTCCGCCGCGGCCGCCTCCTCCGCCTGCCGCACCGAAGTGGCTGCCTGCTCGCCCAGCCGCTGCACCACCTTCGCGGGGAAATGTCGCGGACGTGTCGCGGACGTGCCATCGGTGTGTCTCCTCGCGCCCCCCAACCGCCACGCCGCCTTCTCAAGCTGCGATGCGCGCCCCGCCTGCCCCTCCGCCGCCCCCGCCGCCGCCCCCGCCTCGCGCCTCGCCGCCTCCGCCTCCGCCTCGGCCTGCCGCAGTTCGCGGCGCAGCCCCTCCGCCTCCGCCTCCGCCTCCACCAGCCGCGCCGTGGCGGCGTCACGCACCGCCTACCGCACAGCACGCGCGGCCTGTGAGGCCCGCCTCGTGACGCAGCCGCGGCGACGCCTCGCCCCCCCCCCCCACACACACACAACGCGCCTCTGCCGCAACCACGCGCGCCGCCAGCGACGCCTCATCCTCGGCTGCGCGGCTCGCGTCCTCCTGCGCCGCGCCGAGCGCCCTCTCGAGCGCCGTCTTGTCCGATGCGAGCCTCCCCACCTCCTCCTGCGCCGCGTGCGCCGCCCTCCTGCGCGCCGACAGGACGGGGTGTCGCAAGCATGCAGCCGAGAGGCAGCCGAGACGCAGCCGAGATGCCGCCGAGATGCCGCCGAGATGCCGCCGAGACGCAGCCGAGACGCAGCCGAGATGCCGCCGAGGTGCAGCTGGGATGCGGCCGAGAGGCAGCCGATCCAAGTAGAGCCGAGAGAGGTGGCTGAGGTGTACGGCCGAGGTGTGAGGCGGGGGTTGGCCCTCCTGCTCTGCGCGAGCTCGGAGCCGACGCGAGCCTTGTCTTCGCGCTCCCGCGCCGCATCCTCCCGCGCCACAGCCAACTGCTCTCCCAGCTCGTCGCGCCGCTCCTGCAGGAAGGGTCCGAGAAGGTTCCGGGAAGGATCCGAGCCAGACTCTCCTCCCACCTCGCCGCGCCGCTCTTGCGGAGGGAGCACCCACAATCTCGGCGCATCTCGGCGCATCTCGCCGCATCTCGCGCGGATCTCGGCGCCCCTCGGCGCCCCTCGGCGCCCCTCGGCGCCCCTCGGCGCCCCTCGGCGCCTCTCGGCGCATCTCGGCGCATCTCGGCTATACCCCGCCTGCAACACTCGCACCTCTCGCTGCGCTGCCTCGAGTGTCGCCGCCGCCGCCGCCGCCTTCTCCTCGGCGGCGCCGGCCCGCTGCAGCGCCCCCTCGGCCGCCCCCTCCGCCCTCGCCGCCCTCTCCGCCTCCGCCCCCGCCGTGGCGGCCGCCTCTGCAGCAGAGGATCGCAAGGCCTCGTTGCGCTCCTCTGTCTCTGCAAGACGCCCCACCGCCGCCTCTCGCGCCGCCTCCGCCTCTCCCAGCCGCGAGGCGAGGGCGCCGCTCCGCCCCTCTGCCTCCGCCAGCCGCGTCGCCAGCGCGGCCGTGTCGTAAAGCCTATCGCACATGTCTCGGACAGGTCCCGGACGTGGCCAGGACATGCCCCCACGCCCGTGTCGGCGCGCCGCGTCTCCAAACCCTCTGCCGCCGCCCTCGCCGCCGCCGCCGCCTCCGCCGCGTCGGCCGCCGCAGCGCGCGCCTCCCTCTCCCTCTCCAGAGGAGGGCCTTCGGCTAGAGCCGCGCCCGCCTCCGCCTCCGCCTCCGCCTCCGCCTCCGCCTCTGCCGCCGCCGCCGCCGCCGCCGCCGCCTCCTCCGCCGCCTCCTCCGCCGCCTCCTCCGCCGCCTCCTCCGCCGCCCTCCGCCCCTCCTTGACGCCATCGGCGAAGCCTCGCCGCCCCGCCTCCTCCCTCTCCGCCTCCACCCTCGCCTCGCCCGCCTCCCGCTCCGCCGCCAGCTCCGCCTCCGCCGCCGCCGCCGCCTCCGCCGCCGCCGACTGGTGCGCCGCCTGTGCGAGATTAGGCGAGATCAGGCGAGATGCGACGAGATCGCCCGAGACTGAAGCCGCCGGCTGGTGCGCCGCCTTGACTCGGCGCATCGCCTCGGCAAGCTGCGTGCGCGACTGCTGCCGCACCGCCGCCACCGCCGCCGAGCGCGCCTTGGCCGCCTCCGCCTGCGCGCGACGCAAGGAATAGTGAACCAACTCGTGGACCAGTCCGCCACCTTGGCGGCTTGCACCTGTGAGCGACGAACCGCCGCGGACAGCGCCGCCGACGCCTCCGCCGCCGCGCGCCTCTTCGCCGCCGCCGCCTCGGCGTCGAGGGAAGCCTGAGCATAGCTGGCGGTGTGAAGAGAGAGGGCGTGTCGGGAGCCGTCCTCCTCGGCGGCGGGAGAGGCCAGGCTCAGACGCGACGCTGCAAGGTCGGCCCGCGACGCCTAGCAACGAGCCAAGGCATGAACAAGAGCGACTAGCCCATTCGGAGGCTTGCCCGCGGCGCCTCGAGCTCCGCACGCGCCTCCTATGCAGTGAGCAGCTGGTGACTTGATTCCACACCTCTGAGTCCGTCCGAGTCCGCCGCTCGCCGCCTCCAGCTCCGTCTCGGGGACTCTCGGGGACTCTCGGGGACTCTCGGGTACTCTCGGGTAATCTCGCGTACTCTCGGGTACTCTCGGGTACTCTCGGGTACTCTCGGGTACTCTCGGGTACTCTCGGGTACTCTCGCGCCTCCAGCTCCGTCTCCGCTTCGTCGAGCCGCCGCCGCAAGCTGCCCCGCTCCGCCTCGGCAGCCTGCGCCGCCTCCGCCTGCTCGCACGCGCGCGCGCGGGGGGGGGGGGGGGGGGGAGGGGTGAGCGAGTCCGGCGCAAGCCAGCGAGACGCTGCACCGCCTCCGCCTGCTCCTTGCCGCACTGCTCGGACAGCTCTCGCAGCGAGCGAGCCTCCTCCGCGCTCATCCTCGCCCGCAGCTCCTCCAGCTCTGAGGCGTGGGCCGAGCGGCAGCGGTCAAGCTGCGCCCTCGCCTCCGCCTCCGCCGCCTGCGACGCCGAGAGCGCATCGGCGTGTCGGCGGCTCGCCTCGCCCTTCGACGCCACCGCCTGCGCCCTCGCCGCCTCTGCCTCGCCCTTCGCCGCCTCCGCCTCGCCCTTCGATGCCTCCGCCTCCGCCCTCGCCGCCTCCGCCTCCGCCCTCGCCGCCTCCGCCTCCGCCCTCGCCGCCTCCGCCTCCTCCACCCGCGCCGTCGCCGCCGCAAACTTCGCTTCCGCCGCGTCGAGCCGCGCCGCCAGCGCCTCGCCCGCCCTCGCCTCGCTGGCAGCGGCGGCCGCCGCCTCGCGTTCGAGCTGAAGGGACCGCAGCGCCAGCCCACCCGCCGCACGCTCCGCCGTCGCCAGCTCCGCGCGCAGCGCCGCGCAGCGAGCGGCGCCCGAGGCCTCCGCCTGCAGACACAAGGGGGGGGGCCGAGGAGGCTCAGGGCCATTATCGGGCAGGGCACCGCAACGCACGCCTCCTCCTCCGCCTCCGCCGCAGCAGCCTCGACGCGCGCCGCGGCCTCCAGCCGCGCCGCCGCAGCCTCCGCCTCAGCCTCGGACGTGCGGAGGCGCAGCGCCGCCGCCGCCGCCTCGGCCGCCTCAGCCGCCGCGGCGAGCGCTTGCACCGCCTCCGCCTGCTCCTTGCCGCACTGCTCGGACAGCTCTCGCAGCGAGCGAGCCTCCTCCGCGCTCATCCTCGCCCGCAGCTCCTCCAGCTCCGAAGCGTGGGCGGCGGCCACGCCGGCGGGCAAGGTGGAGCCGCACCGCAGCGCGTCCCTCTCCGCCTCCACCGTCGACAGCTCCTCGCGCAACGCACTGGCCACGCCGCGCGCCTGTTCTCACGCCTGCGGGCGTGAAGAGGCGCCGCCCCCCAAAGCCCCTCCCGCGGCGCGCTGGCAACGCCGCGCGCCTCGGCCGCCGCCTCCTCGGCGCGAGCGCAGCCGGCGGTCGCCGCTCGCGTCTGACTCCGCAGCTCGAGTTCGCGCTGCGTCACCGCCTACAGGCTCGTTCCGAGACGCTTCCTGGAGGGCTCCAGGCAGCTTCGGCTCGCGGAGGCGCCTCGACCTCCGCAAGCGCCGCAAGCTCCGCCCGCAGCGCCTCCGCCTCCGCCTCGTCGACCACACCGCCGCCTATTCACAGCTAGAGGTGTGAAGAGACGCGTTTCACAGCCTCCGCCTCGTCGACCACACCGCCGCCCTTGCCCCCACGGCCGCTCTCGCCGCCCTTGCTCCCCGCGCCGCCCTCCTCCTCCACCTGCCGCAGCGCCGCGAGCAGCGTGGCGCACTCCGCCTCGGCGCGATGGCGGCCCGCCTGCGGCAACACGTGGCGCGGACGTGTCGCGGACGTGTCGTCGGCGTGTCCTCCGCCAACGGGCCGACGCAGCCGCGCCGCCGCGTCACGCTTCGCCGCAAGAGCCGCTGCCAGCTCCGCCTCGCTGGCCACCGCCCGCTCAGCGGCAGCACGCGTCGCCGCGGCAGCCTCCTCCGCTGCCCTCGCCTCGGCTGCCTTCGCCTCCTCCGCTGCCCTCGCCGCCACCGCCTCCGCCTCCGCCTCCGCCGCCTCTGCCGCCTCCCGCCTCGCCTCCGCCACCCGCTCCGCCGCCCACGCCTCGGCGGCCG